TGATAAAATACATATTTTGTTATGTGCAAATGGCTTTAGATACCTATTAGGACAATAAATTACCACAGAGCATATGTTCAACACACAAAAACAGTGAAAATTTGTTGTTGACAAAAGACAGCTGGACATATAAAGGGCCCCATTACCTTCAATAGCTTAGGGCCTCATCAAACCTAAATCTGGCCATGGGTGGGATGATGATGAGTGATCAGAGGGAGAAGAGGGAGCAGACTGGGAGGAGGAGGTGGTGGTGTCAAAAGCTGAAGAGGGAACAGGGTTTAGTGAGCAGGAAGAGGCTGTGGCAGAGAGCAGCCCAGAAGCAAAGGCAGAAGCAGAGGGGGTTCTAGAGACAGAGTATAGGCCAGCTGCTGAAGAAGACAGAGGGTCTCCCCCACTTACTGTGACCAGCTCCCCTCAAGCCTGGTCTCCCAGAACCAGAAGAGGCATGAAGAGGCATGAGCAGAGACAGACAAGGCATCAGAATCTCAGATTGCTTGGCAATGAATCAGGAGAAGAGGAGCCTTAGAGAGTGGTGGGAAGCCGGAGACCTTCAGTCCTCACAACTGCCTCATTGGGGCAAGACCTACTGGGAAGAGCTGCTGTGCTCACTAGGCCTGCACTGCTTTGGTTTCTTTGAATAAAGAGTCAACTTCACTGACACATTGTGTGTTCTTGCCGACTTGCTCCCAACACCTGTCCTAATATGAATCTTATTAGGGGAAAGTGTGGATAAAGATGAACAGTTTAGTTAAAACAGCCATACAGATATGCATTATATCAGGAGAAATTGCTTGAAAGGTGTTTACATTAGTTAAAACTGCCTACAAATTATTGGGAGAAATTTGCACTAAAATGCTGAAGGGTTTCCATGAGGATTTATTTTTAAAGAAAACTGCTACAGAAAATGTAGAAATTGCAAAATGAGAAACAGCCAGAACCAAAATTGACAGATCCTTCCATCCCTAGTTGCATCAAGTTTTTACTCTGTGGGAATATACATTTAGGGCTCAAGCTGTTAGATGCAGCTTATTAGCAATTCATAACATGCACACATATCATCAATTCATAAGGTGCATTGCTGCCAACCCTGGAGGAGAGACAAGAGAGCCAACTGTAAGTCATCTAGCCTGCTGAGAAGACCCCTTACCTTCTGAACTGCACTGAAGCCAGTCCTTGAATGTAGCAAGTTCAGCACCTGGAACTTTATCATCAGCTAACTTTCTTTTTTGCTCTTTACTTATTTTTACTTTCTTGGGCTCCATGATCACTGCAGATGGTGACAGCAGTCACAAAATTAAAAGATACCTGCTCCTTGGGAGAAAGGCGATGGCAAACCTAGACAGCATCTTAAAAAGCAGAGACACCACCTTGCCGACAAAGGTCCATATAGTTAAAGCCATGTTTTTCCCAGTACTGATGTATGGAAGTGAGAGCTGGACCATAAAGAAGGCTGATCGCCGGAGAATGGATGCTTTTGAATTATGGTGCTGGAGGAGACTCTTGAGAGTCCCATGGACTGCAAGAAGATCAAACCTCTTCATTCTTCAGGAAATCAGCCCTGAGTGCTCACTGGAAGGACAGATCCTGAAGCTGAGGCTCCAAGACTTTGGCCACCTCATGAGAAGAGAAGACTCCCTGGAAAAGACCCTGATGTTGGGAAAGATGGAGGGCACAAGGAGAAGGGGACCGCAGAGGACGAGATGGCTGGATAGTGTTCTCGAAGCTACAAACATGAGTCTGACCAAACTGCGGGAGGCAGTGGAAGACAGGAGTGCCTGGCGTGCTCTGATCCATGGGGTCACAAAGAGTCGGACACGACTAAACGACTAAAACAACAACTTATTTAAGTCTACATTATTTCTTTTGCAACGCTGAATTCCTTCTGCGTCTGCTAAATTATGCCTTGAAACACAATCAAGCACATTTTACCCTCTTTGAATTTCCAAACCTATTTTTTTTTGGCTGGAACACTGAGGGACAGGACTCAGGCAATTTCTGACTATTTGTAACAGGTAGATTCTGCAGGCGGCATCCAACATTCTCTTGTCTGCTGGCGCAAAGATTGTTGCGCTATCAGGTGGGCAAGCTGTAATACTGCACAACAGAGGAGTCCAACGCAATAGTTGTGCTAGCAGAAACTCATCATTCAACAGACTGTGCCATCTGTTATGCAACAAATTTACCAGCATTCTGCTTTTGCATTCCTCTGCGCAACTATGCTCTCCTGGCATAGAAACATTCCACCACTTGAACAAATATATCACTAAAGGACTTCAACTTAGCACCACATTGGTTACAACCCCTATATCCATTATTGCATGTCCACTTGCATAAGTTGGTGTGCCAGTGGGAAAACATTGTTGGATATACAGTGGTACCTTGGTTCTCAAACGCCTTGGTTCCGAAACACCAAAAACCCAGAAGTAAGCGTTCTGGTTTTCAAACGCTTTTCGGAAACCAAACGTCCAATGTGGCTGTCAGATATTGTTTCTGGAGCACCAGCACCAATCAGAAGCTGCGCCTTGGTTTTTGAACATTTCAGAAGTCAAATAGACTTCCAGAACAAATTAAGTTTGGCGCTTTTGTTATTGCTATTTATTTATTTTGAACTTTTGTTTTGGAGGCTTTTTTGGTTAATTTGTTTTGTGACTGTGTGGAACCCAGTTCAGCTACTGATTGGTTGATTGATTGATTGATTGATTGATTGACTGACTGACTGACTGACTGACTGATTGACTGCAAAAATGGATAAAAGCCCCCCATCCAAACAATAACTATCATCGGTACAGGTAAGATTTTTTTTTAAAAAAAATTATCATCTACAATACTGTCTTATTTATTTTATAGTACAGTACATTGATTATTGCTTTCATTTTATGGATCAATGGTCTCGTTAAGATAGTAAAATTCATGTTAAATTGCTGTTTCAGGGGTTATTTTTAAAAGTCTGGAAGGGATTAATCCATTTTGCATTACTTTCTATGGGAAAGCGAGCCTTGGTTTTGGAACGCTTTGGTTTTGGAATGGACTTCTGGAATGAATTAAGTTTGAGAACCAAGGTACCACTGTAGTTTTAACTTTCCTTGTAATAAACTCTAGCAAAAGCCCTTCCATGGATGCAAAGTGCTTACTATCTGTGAAGCATAATCAGCCATGTTGCCCTGAGATCTTGGGTCCACTGAGTCCCATTTTGTCTAATCTGACTGGCAGGCAGAAGTCTTTCACATTAGTCATTTATATCATTTATTAACCATTTGAACAAAACAAATCTCTGAGCGGTGTACAAGTCCAATTATATATCAAACACAACGAAAATGCACAGAGCAATGAAAAGCAAAGGGTTGCATCCAATGTGATTAACTTAGGTGTGTTAATATCTCCTCCGAGTACAAAAGCAACAGATACGAGCCAAATATACATAAACCCATCATTAAACCCAAAGATAAAATCAATAGAACATTTAAAACAAAGGTTAACTAAATCGTTTTCTGGGCAGGCTTGTGAAAACAGAAACATTTCCAGCAGGCGTTTTGAAACAGTATAGTGGCTCTACTTGGCCCATTGTCAATATCTTCTACCTGATACGGGGAATGACCCAGGGACCCTCAACATACAAAGTGTGTTTTCAGCCATTGAGCTCTGACTCTTCCTCTACAACTGTCCCATCACTGCCTAGCCTTCTCCATTCATAAGAAACTGTCTTAAACTCAGGACTCTAGTCAGCCTAAAAGGTGAAGGGTCCCCTGACCATTAGGTCCAGTCGTGGCCGACTCTGGGGTTGCGGCGCTCATCTCGCTTTATTGGCCGAGGGAGCCGGCGTACAGCTTCCAGGTCATGTGGCCAGCATGACTAAGCCGCTTCTGGCGAACCAGAGCAGCGCACGGAAACGCCGTTTACCTTCCCGCCAGAGCGGTACCTATTTATCTACTTGCACTTTGATGTGTTTTCGAACTGCTAGGTGGGCAGGAGCAGGGACTGAACGACGAGAGCTCACCCCGTCGCAGGGATTCGAACCGTCGACCTGATCGACAAGTCCTAGGCTCTGTGGTTTAACCCACAGCGCCACCCGCGTCCCTCTAGTCAGCCTAGTTCAGTATTATCTGCTGCAACTGGTGACCTCTCTCCAAGGCTGCAGGTAAAAGGTTGTTTCCCATCACACACTCCCTGATCCTTTTAACTGCCAATACCAGGGAATGAACGTATGATCCTTTTGAAGGCAACATGTGTGCCCTGCGTTCGGCATCACACTAGCCCTGACTTGGTTCCAGACACAGAGTCCTTGAAAAACTATTTTATTTATTTGTGTTGTGCTATTACATTTATATGGGACGCGGGTGGCGCTGTGGGTAAAACCTCAGTGCCTAGGACTTGCTGATCGTAAGGTCGGCGGTTCGAATCCCCACGGCGGGGTGAGCTCCCATCGTTTGGTCCCAGCTCCTGCCCACCTAGCAGTTCGAAAGCACCCCTAAGTGCAAGTAGATAAATAGGTACCGCTTTATAGCGGGAAGGTAAACAGCGTTTCCGTGTGCGGCACTGGTGCTGGCTCGCCAGTGCAGCTTCGTCACGCTGGCCACGTGACCCGGAAGTGTCTTCAGACGGCACCGGCTCCCGGCCTCTTGAGCAAGATGAGCGCGCAACCCTAGAGTCGTTCACGACTGGCCCGTACAGGCAGGGGTACCTTTACCTTTACTATTACATTTATATACCACTTTTTCTGGCAAGGAGCTCTTCCTGTGGTATTGATGCTGAACTGTTTCATGACCTCAACTTCTGGATTATGTTTTGGACCAAGATTGATTCTCTGTGCTTGACCTTGGCTTGTTGAGACTACACAACTCTTGCCTAAGTATTTTGGTAAAAGACTTTACCTTCTTTGGACTGAGTCCATGAAGGCGCTTCTTAAAGCATGACATTGAGTTATGGTCTCTCCCAAAGGCACCATTCACTTTAAAGTCATTGTCTGGCCCTTTCTGTTAATGAAACATACTAAATGTTCTTACCTTATCAGATTTCTAACTTGAGACAGGCTCCACAGGAGATGAAGGAGGAGAATTCTGGAATGACAAGGTAAAAAAAAAACAACGCCATTAGCCTAAAACAGAGAAAGCGAATAGGTTTTTTCTTCTATTTTATGCATTATGTTTCAAACCACAGCAGCACAATCATTATTCCTTAATTTGGCACACTTTGTCTCTTCCCCCACTCCTGCACTTCTTGAAAAATATAGGCAGCCAATATAACTAATGACAGAGTTAAAAGAAATCTGTTACAGCAATCTACAATAAATTTTGGGAAGTGGTTCATCCATTTGTTTCCCAAGAGGTTTGGATGCCTCCTGAGATATCATTGCTAAACTCAGCACAAAGACCCCCAATATGGGGGCAGCAGGTTTTGTTGATGTCGGGATGCCACGCGAGACGTCATTTGGAAGCAAGATGGTGGGCTGAAACATCACTTGGGCGAGACTTGGTTCATTTTTGGGTAGACGTTTGGCCACCTCTCAACAGAACATCACCAAACTCAGCATGACAGTTCCCAATATTTTGAACTGATGACAGTACAAAATGTGACTTTGACATGACTTTGTCTCATTTTTGCTTTGTTTTGATTATTGCAAATCAAAGGAAGTCTGCATCAGTCTACCTAGTAAGTTTATGATTACGGTCAGTTTTGAGTCTGGGATTTCCTTGTTCACATTCTTAGCCTGGACACTTCAGTACCTTAATTACTTCCAAAATCAATACAATTAAAATCTCCTTCATCCAGTTTTTTTAGAGCAGGAGAGTCACTTTTTAACACTATAGTCTCTTCATTCTTTTCTTTTTTTAATTTTAAAGAAAAATCAGAAGAGCAGGTGTAGGAAATGTTTGGCCCTCTCCGTATTGCTGAACTACAACTCCCATATGCCTCAGCGAGCATGGCCAATGGCTAGGAATGAAGGGAGTTGTAGTTCAGCAAAGTCTAGAGCAGCCTTTCTCAACCTGTGGGTCCCCAGATGTTGTTGAACTACAACTCCCATCACCCCTAGCTAGCAAGGCCAGAGCTCAGGGATGATGGGAGTTGTAGTCCAACAACATCAGGGGAACCACAGTTTGAGAACCGCTGGTCTAGAGAGTCAAAGGTTCCACACTGATAACTTCCATGAAAGTACTTTTGTGACACCAAAGCAGGCTTTTCTTATAATTCAGAGAATCTAATATTTCACTTTTAAAAAACAAGCATGCTTTTGTCCCCAAGGGATGCAAAAAAAAGTATCTGAAAATGTACCAGGAAATGTCCTCAGGGACTGGAAGCAAGATTTAGAAACATGATCTTTACAATGACTAAACTGCATTATATTTTATTTTCTGCAGAGCTAAACAGCAAGGGGTTTGGGGGTGGAGGAATGTGACATGCAGGGAAGTTACAATGTGACGGGGGACCACAGTGCCACGCTAAAAAATGGACAAAAAGGGTACTGCAGCTTATCTGACCAGTCTGGCTAGGTTTGTTAAAGAAATGACTGGTGGCATGGCTGACACTGTGTAACTGCTACTCCAGGTTTGGTTCCTCTACCTGAGCAGCTCTTCCTTAGAATGCAAAAGGCAGATATTGACATCCTGGCCAATAAAAATTCCAAAATCCAGAGTACAAAAATTCCAAAATCCAGAGTACGTACAATACCTTTATAACGACCAAACAAAAATTGACACAAAACAGCAAGCAAGCTTTTGGGTTCTCCAAAGGTCTTTTTTATTACACTGGATGTTAATTAAGGTGGAGGAAGAAGAAAAGTTGGCTTTGTCTCCATTTTTGGATTGAGAACAGTGTCAGGCCAGGTCTTTGGAGACCGAAGTTCAAATCCCTGCTCACTGAGTGACCTTGGGTCACCAATCATCTCTAGCCAAACCTACCTCACAGGGTTCTTGTGAGGGTTAAATGGAGACAGGGAAAACCATGTACACCACACTGGATAAAAAGTAGGATAGAAATGTAATAATAAATAAAATAAATATTGCCTGGCTTTAACACCAAGCTGGATTTTTCAAGTTCCCTTTTCTCCTGCATTGCTTAATTAAGCATCCAGTCTGAAGAGAGCTCTGGAAAACTCAAGAACTTGGTCACTATTTTGTGACTTTTTGGTTGGTCCCGATAAAGGTATTGTGCTACTGCGGATTTTAGTATCATTCTTGCGAGAAGCTGATGAATGGACTCGCCTTGCCCCTCTCCCCTTCCTTGCCTTGCCTAGAACTTGATCACTGACCCATCTTGGACCATGCCATCGGCCTCCAGCCTTTTGGGTCCTTGTATCCTCTCAAGAACCTGACTACTTGCCCATCCTCAACCACACTGGTTGCCTCAGACCTCACCAGGCTTTGGTTAAATTCCTACATCAATGCACACAGCTGCTTTAAAGAAAACACAGAGATATTGATCGGGTCATGCTTATCCAACAGGTGTAGCTACACATGCCAGTTTGATTGAGGGCTCCTCCAGATGTCCTGTTTTACTGATCATTCATCCCGATGTGCTTGCACAAAGCTTACACTGTAGTTGGACTATGTTTGGACTTCACTGAGAAGTTCGGACTTCTGATTTATTGAATGATGGGGAGGTTCTGCAACGGCAAGCATACAAACTACATTCATCCTATGGTTCTATGTAATCCATCGGGAGTTTATACCCCCTTCCATTAATCATCCATTCACCCCACACATTTCAATGTATTTCCCCATCACTTTCCAAACCGTAAAAAGTCTGGGACTTGTTTGCTTCTATTTGAAAAGTGGATTTGTTGCACTGTGGTGACAGAGTGCTTTAAACCCACTGTATTTATTCACTAAGAGAAGCGGGTGGCGCTGTGGTCTAAACAACTGAGCATCTTGGGCTTGCCGATCAGAAGGTCGGCGGTTCGAATCCCTGCGATGGAGTGAGCTCCCGTTGCTCAGTCCCAACTTCTGCCAACCTAGCAGTTCGAAAGCACACCAGTGCAAGTAGATAAATAGGTACCACTGTGGCAGGAAGGTAAACGGCATTTTCATGCGCTCTGGTTTCCGTTATGATGTCCCGTTGCACCAGAAGCGGTTTAGTCATGCTGGTCACATGACCCGGAAAGCTGTCTGTGGACAAAGGCCGGCTCCCTCGGCCTGAAAAGCGAGATGAGCCCCTCAAGCCCATAGTTGCCTTTGCCTGAACTTAACCGTCCAGGGGTCCTTTGCCTTTTAACCTACAGTGGTACCTCGGGTTAAGAAATGGAGGTCCGTTCTTAACCTGAAACTGTTCTTAACCTGAGGTACCACTTTAGCTAATGGGACCTCCCGCTGCCTCGGCGCAATTTCTATTCTCATCCTGAAGCAAAGTTCTTAACCTGAGGTACTATTTCTTGGTTAGCAGAGTATGTAACTTGAAGCGTCTGTAACCTGAAGCGTCTGTAACCCGGGGTACCACTGTATTTACCTATTTGTTTACTGAATTAATATCACTCATTTCCTCCCAAAGGAGCCCAGGGTGGTAAGCAGACCCACAACTTAAAAACAAAATAATGCTGGTTTAAAACATTTACAGTTTTAAAGCAGTTTTAAACTGAAAAGCAGTTGCAGTTTAAAAGTTTTCAAAAACCAGTTACAGCTAAAACCATTATTCCGTCCAATGCTCTCGGGGTTGCTAGGAACAGTATATTCTTTAGCTACCAAATGCCTGGGTAAATAGGATTTTCCACTCCAATTCCTCCTGAGAGGTAATAGTGATGGAGACAGGTGTACTTCACTAGGGAGGGCATTCCACATCTGGGGAGCCACCACGGAAAAGGCCCTGTCACAAGTTGGCAGCCCCAAGCAGCCACAAACCCAATGGCACAAATCTAACGTTCTGGTATGCACTCTGTTATACACAAGAGAATGAGGTTGCTTCCAGATCTATGGCATGCCACTAGAAATGGATTAATCCCTATGTTGTCATGGCACATTCTGCCCTCACAACAGCTTAACACAACAGCTCCTTTAGGAATTTGCAAAATGCATGCAAAACGTCCACAAGCCAGTGTTCCGCATCCAGCAAGTCTGGAAAAAAACAACATGCGGGTTCAGTTAATGACTTGTAACTAACAAATGCAAATTAGGAGCAGCCCTCTGGGGTCTGTGATCTATTCCTGCTCTGGGCTCTGAGCAAATTGCTCAACCCCAAAACAGAGGATCCTAAATTGTGAGCGGCTCCGCCTTAACGAGGAAGCCCAAACAATTCAGTCCTCCTTCCTAGAAAGCAAAGTGCAGCTTAAAATAAAGAAGATGCAAGCAACATTTTTTCTATTTCCAAAAAGCCCAGAAGGAATTTTAAAATGCATCAGAGCTCAGAGTTCAGGAAAGTGTTTTTTCTTTTGTAAGCAGCACTGACCATTATGATAAGATCAAAGCATTCTTGCTACCATCTGGGAGTTAGCAAAATAAAAGGGGTGGGAGAGAAGGCTCCAGTCAAGGGGGGAAGGGGCTCATATTTAGAATTCCTTCTATTCTGTCCGACCAGTCTGCAGGCTTTCAGAAGCATCGCACAGGCTCTGGAAGGCAGTTCAAAACCGAGATTCCCAAAGGGATTAAACCAAATGTGGGGGGGGGGAGCCAGCTGAGCCGAGACTGGAGCTCCACGTACCAAGCATTCTCTTCTATAATTCACGAGGCATGAAATTGCCTCAATATATTATTTGGCTTCGGACCAAAACAACCCTCATTTACCAGTTCAAGAGCAAAACAAATCTATGTATACAAAAAACGACATGCCTAATGTGTTCGTTTCATGGATTTTAGGATTAAAAATGCTTGTTTACCTTTTCTTTCTCTCTCCACCCCCCCCCCTTTTATTTTATTTTTTATCTGTTGCTGCAAATTACTGTGTAGCATTCTTGCACAACGTGAACAGTTTCAGAGAGCGCCTTATTTCCTGCCCTCCCCCCCCCTTAAGTGCTAAAGTAATGTTTGATGCTCAGAACTATGGCAACAATGAGATGTGAGATCAGACTGCTTCACCGTCTTGCCCAATATTATCTCCTGCGGTTGGCGATAGCATCCCATTACACTCACGGCCT